AGTACGACGGCTACGATTTTATGGAATTGAGTCCACTGTATTTCCAATGGATCCAATTGGCTTCCTCAACTCCTTGCTACCAAGCGATTTACCTGGAAACAGGAAATAGTCAGGGCAGGCTGACCGGCGGAGAAATGCTTCCATGATTTATGGTTTGTTCCAAAAATTTTCCTAGTCAATCTTCAACTTTTTTAGCTTCAGTAGAATTTAAAATTTTTGTAATGCATCGCAAAAAAAAAAAAGTTGGAACCAGAGCAAAGAGATTGCTTTCTCGCAGACCATCGATTGGAGGCTATTAAAGCACGGCTTGCTATCAAAATATGTATACTAGTAGCATTACAAGCTGCAGTAGCTAGCAGTCAGCCAAACTTTATCACAACATACAAACAAGAATACATTAACATATGTTCACTGTAGAGCGCAGTCACATAAATACAGGATACGAGGACACAAATTTTGAAATAACATTTGTGCAAAGCCACAATGCATACATATGTACATACATACATTAGTACATCCACACACATGCGCGTGCATACAAATCAACATTCGTGCACACCTGAATGCCAAAGCAATGCAAACAAGCTCAATATATACATATAAATATCATCAACAAAAAAAAATAATAATAATAAAAAATGGTGTAGACAACAACAGCAAAAGAAAAGTCGTTGAAAATATTTTCACACTGTGGCAGCGATGGCGAAGGATACATATGCCACAAGCTAAACGACAGCTAAAGAGTACGAGCTATTCACATACATAAGTGAGCGGCGAGAGGTATGGAAACGCGTATTAAATATTTGAATGGCAGCAGTAAAATCGTTCGTACAGCAAATCATTTTAATAAACTCCAAAAAAATACCGAAATTTTAATACAGAACGCAGTGATGCGTGTTGACTGGTATTGCATGTGTAATCTGGGCGCCTCGCGCGCCGAGAAGCAAAGCACTGTGGTAGGTGTGCACTGTGGGATGGCAAACGGGGCGTATACGCATTAAAACGCCAAGAGCAGTCAGCACTTTAAAATTAGCAAGTTAATATCGTAAAAGTGTGGCGCTGATAGCAACACTACATATGTACATACATACATATGCATGCGAGACGTGGCGAGAAAGGGGGCGTCTCGCTGTGTGCGCGTGAATATATGTATGTATGTGGACACATGACTGGTGTTGTGGTCTACTTGTAGCGTTTGTGACGTTTAAGAAGTGCTGATTTTATTTGCAACTAAATTTATTTCGTGGAATAATTTTCTATAGTATTCTTCCTGTATAAAAAAAAATCACAATTAATTTCGAGTGTGCTAATAAAAATGTTAAAATTGGAATTTTTTTTTGCAAATCATCATCAGCTTATTATCAATGTATTTTTTTTAAATTTTATTTGTTCTATTCGATAACAGGAACATTTTCGCTAACAGTTTGAAGTATATTAAACTTTTAAAATGAAAAAATCCTTAAGTTTCAAAAAATGACAAAATAGCTGCTTAAGTTAGTCTGCATGCTGCCATATTTTTTAATTCGGTGGCACACTTTTGAAACTTCCCAGGTACGCTGTATTTGATGCCAACTTTCATTGCCTCTAATATGAACTTACTATTTGGAAACTTTCTAAAGTTATTAAAAAAATTATTATGTTATGTTATGTTATGTTATGCCACGTTATGCTATGCTATGTTATGTTATGTAATGTTAAGCTATGTTATGTTATGATGTAATGCTATTTTATGTTTTGTTATGTTATATTATGTTATGTTATGCTATGTTATGTTATGATGTTATGTTATGTTGTGTTATGTTATATTATGATGTTCGTTATGTTATGTTATGCTATGTTATGTTATGTTGTGTTATGATGTTATGGTATGTTTTGTTACGTTTTGTTATGATGTTATGTTATGTTATGTTATGTTATGATGCTATGTTGTGTTGTGTATTGTGTTGTTGTGTATTTTAACCGAAGCTATGAGAAAACTTGTGTCTAGTCGCCGCCCATTTAACAGGTATATATTCCGTACGTCGGGGTCTCACCACTTAAGGCCAAATTGGTAAAATAGTCCCTTAGTTTGTGTACAACTCTTGTCAGGTCATCGCTGATCTAACGCAATCGAAACTGAAGTCGGACTTTCTGTGATCAGTTTCGGCTATATAATTAAGGAAAATGAGCTTCAATTTCCGCCATGTTAAACAAACATATACACTCATCTGCTCTGCCTAAAATACACATCAGGGCGTGGAAGAGAGGTATTTATGTTAATAAAAGTGTGTGCACCAAGACTATTCCGTGATTTATTTAAAAAAATATTTTCTTAGAAATCTATAGGTTGATTGAACATATAGGAAAAGCTTAAACATTTCACCTCTTTTATGTACCTAGGATCTGCTTGATATATACATATACATTAGAGTGCATCACTCTCAATACAAAAAAATCTTAGTTTTTCCCATTGGAATTTTATTTAGAATTTATTATATTTTAAGACCAAAATATTACGGACAAATACTAAGACTTAGGTGAGCTGGAGCGATTAGAAAATAAAGAGAATTCGAGTTTTTTTATAAATAAAATAAGTTTAGATGATAGAAGAGTTTAAGATTAAAATGTCTGCATTAAAATGTTTGAAAATGTGATCAAACACGAAAATAATGACATTACTGGAGTTATTTTTTCCTAAATATTTTGTTAGAAGTTTTAAAATACATATAATAGATTTTATAATTAAGGTGGAAAAACTGGAAACTTTTTTGGTGATGCACCCTAATGTAACTTTTCAGCAACGTTTTCCTTTGCTTAACTTTGTATGAACATATGTAATAAATATATGTATTCCCTTACTTCTACAAAGCAGCAAGTAAAAAATATTGACATTGCAAAAGACTTGCAAACTTGTACATATATACATATTTACATATGTAAACATATGTAATTTTTTAAGGAGTGTGCGTATTTATTTACATACGGTGATGTGTGCAGACTGCAATTACAAATAACAACACAAATACATATGTACATATGTATGCATGTACAACTTTCTTACGTGAATATAAACAAAATCACTCATTCGTAAATACATACGTGAGCGTACATAAATTTACTTACTGCATATGTATGTAAAATGCTGCATCCCACCTAACCAAATACGAATTGCTTATACATAAATAATTACATTTAAAAACTTTTTAGGCGAGTGCTTGAGAAATTTTTCATGATTTTTTGTTCTTCGAATAATTTCATCTGTGAAAAATGTGTGTAAACACTGCCGACTTCCTTTGGAGAGAAAGCTTGCAATATAAATAATCACATATGAGCCGGTATACACCCTTCCCGAGGTCTACACTGGAAAATCGATCTAAGCGTGTTTCGTAAAAGAGTATAGCTTATATAATTTTAAAACGAACTTTACCCATATTTGATTGGATTATGTTTATACATAACTATTTCTTTTAATTTCAGTTAATTTAGGAACTACTTAATTTTATTCTTATTTTATTTATGTTATTTTTAAATTTTTAGATTTTTTTGTATTACAAGATTTTTTTTAATTTCATATAATCTTAGAAACATAACTTTTTTTGATTTTTAAGTCCACTTTTTTTATTCCATTTTATTTAAACTCTTTGATTTTATTATTTTTTAGGATCTTAATTTACTTATATTCCTTTATGGAATTTTTGCATTGTATTATTCAAAAAGATTTTTTTTTTTAAATTTCATCTAATTTTTAGGAGGTTATTTAAATTTCTTTCTCCTTTATTGTATTAATTTTTCTTTTTTTTAACTTTTAGATTTTATTGTTAGAAAAACCTATCTAAAAAAGTCTTTTAACTTTTAGTTAATTTATGTTTTTTTTAATATTTTTAGCTGTTTTAGTATTTTTTTTTAACTTTAATTTTTTTGATGTTAATGGTTTAAAAGAAAAACAATGTTTTTTAATTTCATTTAGCACATAGAACCCTTTTTGATTATTTTTTTTATTTTTTTTTTCTGTTTCAGTAATTTTTTTTTATATTTAATTTTTTTTTAATTTAAAAAAGAAAAATATATATTTCAAATCTCATTTAATTTTTAGGCACTTATGTTATTATTTTTTCTTTATTCTTTAAATTGTTTTACTTTTATATTCCACTTACAAAAACAAAATCAGTTGCTTGTAAATTTCAAGGATTTGCGATATTTTTTATAAATTAATATTTGTTCTTTTTAGTTTATTATTTTTTATTTTTTTCATTATATTATTTTAAAAGAATTTGAATTTTCATTTAATTTTTAAGAACTTACTTAATATTTCTTTCTCTTTTATTGTATAAAGTTTTTATTTAATTTCCTTTGTCTTAAAAATACATAATTAAATTTTTGGTAAATTATCTGGTTTATCTTCTTTTGATAAAATTGTTTACATTATACATAATATTTTAAGAACAAAAATATATATATTTTTTAATTTCGTTAAATTTTTGGGAACTCATTTATTTTTTTTCTCTTTTATTTGATATTTTTTTCAATTCAATTTTTCCGTAAATTTCTAGTTTTTATTGTTTTGACAGGAAAAACTCATTTGTTTTTTTTTTATAAAATTTTATTTAAAAAAAAAGTTATTGCTAAAATACAAACATAAGTCTTTCGTAGGACAGAAAGGGGCTGTATTTTACATAGTTGCCTTTGAAAGACTGTAAATAATTGCCACAATTCATTGGCGGTTAATTTAAATGTGCAATTCGGAGAAAAATTGTAAATGAAATGTTAAAATTTAAAGAGTATATTCATGAAAACTCAGCTTGCACAACCTACATGGAGCTAATTTTTGGTCTCAGTGCAATTTTGGTATATATCACCGGCGTATTTCTGTAAAAGTTTCGTTGATGTGGCAGTAGAGTATAAGTGCGCATACGGATACGCTTACTTTACATGCTCATTAAATTTCTCCCTGCTTATTTTCGCTGCATATTTTTCCACTTTAATTTACCAACATAAAATTTTTATTTTTTTTTCGCACGCAGATGAACCGTATCACCGCACAGCAAGGACGACTGCGGCGCACACAACCGCAGCACCAACAACTAAAAAGGATATTGTGGCAGGTAAAACAAGGGACTGCAATTTGGATGCACGCCACTCGAAAAAAATGAAAGAAGATTTCACTGGCGGAGGAGGTGGGCTTGCTGTGGTAATGACTGCGGAGAAGACAGATGCAAATGAACCGCTGGCTGCTGCCACCAGCCACGGAAATGAGAAGGAAATAGATGTGCAACTCTTTTGGCTGGAAAAGATCTATGCACTTAACAAGCAGCTGCAGCGCGAAGAGGAAATGCTGCTGAAGCTGCATGCAAAAATAAGAAAACATCAGGTGAAGCGCGCCTATCAAACAAAGCGCGAGGTGGTGCAACAAATCGAGAAATTGGATGCAGAGCTGACGTTGCAGTGTTGTGACATACGCGCAGTGGAGAGTAAATTACACGCGTCCAATGAGCAATTGAAACAGAAGTTGGGCGTGTTGGAGCGATTGAGTCAAGAATTTCTGGAGACAATGGACCAAGCAGCGCCCCCAGCGGAGGCTGAAGAGCAAAGTGTAGCCGAAGTGGCAGCTGATGCTGATAGTGAGGCAACTGTTAATCGAATGCCAGATGTAATTAACAATGAAGATCACAATCTTGCAACAGAGATGGCGTTGCGTGCCACAGCGACAATGGCGAGGGAGAATAAATTGCAAGAAACGACCGTTGATGAGTTGCATGCAAAACAGATGACGACGGTGGAGTTTGGTGGACAGCAACAAGGTTGCCAGTTGCAGTCACAAAGAAGTGGCGTAGCCGATGAAGATGTGTGGCATAGACAAAATAATGCCAAGTTGCACTTGCCACATGCAATGCAGTCAGCCACCCAAGCGTTGCATACAGATTTGAATGGCAGAAGTGATTCGAAGGCGTGGGGGGAAGAAAGTACAGCAGCACCAGCAACAGGAATAGTAACAGTACCATCATCAGCTGAGGACGGAGAAGCAACAAGAACAACAACAGCAGCTGCAAAAGAAGCTGCTGCCATGGCAGCAAGCCACGCATCAGCGGTAGGCTTCAAACTGACAGCGCCAGGCTATGCCGTTTCATCGTCAAGTGCAAGAATGACAGCAGCAGCAATAACAACAACAACAAGACCGTTGGCAACAACAATAAATGCCACAGCAGATGTAACAACAGTCGCCGCAACTGCATGCAACATGCCAGCTATGTCGCCGGCGGAAGGAAAACCAACCACGGCACTTCATCTTGCTCAGCTGCAACTGCCACAACTACAGCAAGAACAATTGCCGCTGCCTGCAGAAGATAATTCGCAACAATGTGTCGATGCTGATGACGTTCTCGTCGATGCACTTGCAGCCGTTGGCGGAGTGGTGTTGCCACAAAGCAATTATCCAATTAGTTGCATTAATCATGCGGCCATACATGCCACCAGCCAACTCTCAACGAGGCAAATTATTGTCGCAGCTGGTGGTGATGGCCTCAGCACAGCAGTGGCTGGGAAGTTAACGCCTGAGCAAACATTGTCAGCCGCCTATGCAACAGTGTCGTCGTCGACAACACCGTCACCTTCTCCGTCGTCTCCGTCGTATCCGTCATCGTTGTCAATGGCAAATGCTTCAATTATCCAGCAACAACAACAGCTGCAGCATCAACTACACCAGTACCAGCCGCAATTACTACCGCAGCGGCAGCATATCAACATGAACAGTTACATGCACAGCAACTGCGCCAGCAATTACAACAACAACAACAACAGTAATAGCAACTGCAAAGACAATCATACAAATGACAAGAATTTGCTACCGCCTTCGCATGCCGCCCACACGAAAACGTTGCAAAAACAAATGTTCGGTCCGAAATCTCTTAAACAAATGCTGCCGGCTGCGCCGCCGCCAAAAATAATACAGGTTTCAGCAGCACCAATGACCACACCTTCCACTTCGACTATAGCCGTAACGCCTTCCCCGCATGTAGGTGCACATGCTGGCTTCGGTATACCATCCATGTTAGCACCGCTGCGCCCCACAACGCCAACAGCACTGTTGCCTCCTACACCTGTAATTCCCTTTGATGTGACAACGCAGCGCAGCAGTGTTGATATCACGCAGTTGGGCACACTGGTCTAAAGATAACGATGAGGTTTTGTCGTTGGTCAACAGCCGCGCTGTCACACAGCCATCGGTAGCCAGTGGGCATATGGACATGGCACAAAGGGAGTGGCCCTAAGTGGTTCACTGCACATATGACGTACTTACGTAGGTCCCTCTTTCGCGGTAATGATGCGCTGCACAGTGGTTGGAAGTTGGTAAAAATTTTGTGTGTTGCAAAAATTCTTAAAATGCATACATACTAAGCGGAGATTTTACCCAAGTTAAGAAAATGTATATACACAAAGTCTACATATAAAACATGCATACTTATACCTAACCTTGAAAGTAGATTTAAGTACATACAAAAAATAGTAATATAGTACCTCATTATAATATTTATTGGATTCGGCAAATGAGGAAAACTAAATATATTCAAACATTTTCTGAAATGCATAAATATATTCATATATTTTACCCAAAGAATTTGTCTCTGTTTCGATTTGTTAAAGTAGGTCTAGAAATAAAATATTTCGCAAGCAACAGGCTACATTATCACTGTACACAAACAAAGGAAAGCTGTAAGGGTTACCAACAACGTATTGTCTACATAGTCCAGATTCGCTTAAGGTGGATGACCAAGGTAAGAGGCACACTATGATGCATTTTGTGTTACGATTATTTAATGAGAGATATTCGCTAAATTTTGCACCATCGATGTTTAAATGAAAACAATTATAATAATTACAAAATTTTTTAATATATTTAATATAACTAAATTTAATTTAATATGGATAAACCTACCTAGGGGTAGACCACTCTTCCACGAAAGTCTAATACGAAGTACATTGGAATCGTATTGGACAGAAAAGTGTCCTGAAAGAGTGGGCGTGAAAGGCCTAGGCAGCGCGGTATGCATGTAAGAATATGTTGGGCTGCACTTGGTGGCTTTGACCCACTCCTTTACATTGGATATTCACAGCTATCGTTAAGCCAACACTAAACATTCTATGGGGTATTGATATGGTGGACAGCAACGAAAACGAAGACATACCTTAAAAGACTTACCGGCTCTCAATGATCAGTATAACGGGTGCCTTGAGGACAACATGCCACCAGCAAAGAACTTAGCGTTTAAAACTGTCAGACTGCGTGCTATGGGGTTCTGGAAGGAAATTAAAGCGCTGCCCACTGTCGAAGACCTGGGTTCACCGTAAACCCCGCACGAAAATTCTAAGTCGCAGTGACTGGAATCAGGAAAACTTCGGTGAGAAGTGCATGTGCATAATTTTTTAATGAAATTTCGCGCATTGCGCTTTATACATATTTATATATATGCGCTTTATTTCCGGTTCGTTACCAATTGATTGGTGGTGTAGCATACCTTCAGGCTATAGGTGTTGTTAGTTGCCTAAATAAATTTCAAGTATTAACACGGAAAGCTGAATAACCAAAACTAACGCAAACTCAAATACTCTCAACAGAATGTATGCTAAACAAAATCTAGCCATTTTACAACATTTGAAAACACCGTACATCGGCATGTTCAATGTCACACACTGAGTTCCTATTATCTATCCAAGCATTGCCCCACAGCAATGACATCGCATGGGAGCCACTTATTATTAATCGTTGGACATTTGTGCCAACGCTTAAGCGAGATTACAATACAATACAATGCAGATATTTATAAATATATTTCTAAACATGCATGCATACCTAAATTTACATACATACATACACACATATGTAAACTTTTATCGTGGTCCAACGGTGCAAAGCTTAATCGAATGTGGATATTTTATTTTTTATTTTTTATTTCGATACCTGTTTTTGTTTCTAACACAAAGTGAACTAACTTGCGTGTCGTGTATTCCACGGATATATATTTTTAGTACGTACACTAGGAAGGGTTGTGAAAAAAAACGAAATCTCCCTTTATTTGAGAGTTTAATTTGAGAGAATTTTAGTGTTTATATTTTAATACCACATATTTATCCTTTTAAGATTATATTAAAGTACCTTCACCGACTAGTGAACTCAAGTTTAAACCTGGCGTCCGGAGACCTTTTATATCCTCATTTCCAGGAGGAGGCTGGCATTTGAATAATAGTTGGACCCAGTCTATACTTTGGCATGTACGATTACGATTTTGAGACTTATGTATATCTTCGCTACTTCCTCGAATTCTTCTCGCAAAGACCCCTGGTTGGCAAATGAGATGAGCTCTAGAACAAAGAGTAAGAGAATAGTTGACTCATTATCCGTCCTGTTATGCTTCCCTTTTGTCACTTCGGGTGCTGAGTCAAAGGCCAAGAGATGTTGAACAGGAAAAAAGCGCGGGCTCCTACTCCTTCTCTTTCTTCTTCTTCTCCTTGTACTTCTTTTTCTCCTTCTGGCTCTTCTCTTTACATGTTTGCACCAGATTTAATCATTGTTGGTTCCATACTTGAAAACATCCCGACTTAAAGAAGGAAAAATATCAACTAGCATCTCCACACCTCTTAAAGCTTGGTATTTCCAACCTGTATTGAAAGTAGTGTAGGCTCCTCATTAACTAGTTCAATGTGCTGTCGTAATCTATCTCTTTTCCTCCTGAGACTGCAGAATACCGGCTGTCACGTCATAGTTTATGCTGACGACATTGTACTCACAGCAACGGGCAAGCACCTCCTAATGCAGAGAGTAGACTCAATCAACAAAGGATTGCAACCACGTTAAACACAGGTTCCCTGCCCTCTACCCCCCAGTAAGGCCCTAGAAACTATACGAAATCTTCTTCCTAACTACGGTAGATATCAAGTGAGTTGCAACGACACCACATTGAATGGAGAGACCTTAAGTTCGCACACTCAGAAATTCTAGCTACCGTTCCAGCAACCCAACTTAAGCTGCATTACACCAGCCCAATCTTTTGCTTCGAAAGCAGGTTTTATTGGACCTAGATCCAAGGTCTACCAGCATCTTTACGGATGGATCAAAGCCCGAGAACAAGGTTGATAGGGGAATTTACTCTAATGACCCCTTAATAAACCTCAGCATACGGCTCCCTGACTACTGTAGCGTTTTTCAGGCCAAATTAACCGCAAAAAGGGAGGCTACTGTATCGCCGCAACTTCCCTATAGTGCACCAGCACATCCTTGAAAGTGGCTGTCGAATGCAGAAGGACTTTAAATGACCAACGAAATAACTGAAGCCTTAATTTCTCAACCAATTTGATTAATTTAAAAAAAAATTAAAAATCAACGCGATCGCTTAGTCACCTGCAACTTGCACTTTATTATATTAAAATTTAATGATCTATAAAACTGCATACCCAAAACTTTTATAAAAACTAAAAACAAAAAAAAAATATTTCGGTGAACATTTTTTTATAACATTGAAAATTTTTATTTTATTTTATTTTCTTTTCGTTTGTTAGAATCCTACCCAAAATCCAGTCTTACCCCATCCATACCAATTAAATCATCCACTCCTGCACTCACGAAAAAATTTAATTTCTGATCAAATTTAAATTTTTGGATTTTTTTTTTACATACACACGGTTTTCGCTTACAAGTTTTGACCATCTAATTTATTTATTAGTTTTAAATTATTATTATTTTTTTTTAAATATAGTGCATGCTACAATGAAGTCATATAAGGTCACGGTTTTAAACTTGATACAAAATTTATAATAACACCGTGCGATGGTAAATTTTATACACAATAAAATGAATATATTCGCGGAGCTATGGGTAAATTATAGTAAAACTGCGTACATACTTAGCTTTTCTCTCTGAGGTCAGGATTTTTTTAAAAGGACTTTGAAATTTAAAAAATATGATTATTTGAAAAAAATTATTTAAAAAATTCAGTGCAACGTAGGATAACAATAAGGGCATCATATAAAAGACAAAATTCTGTATAATTATAAGAAAAAAAAGTTTTGGGTGCATAAGGACGAATGGGCACGGAAATTTCCCTTTACAAATTTTGTGCGGAAATATCCTTGAAAATTTGCAATATTTATTTTTGAAAAAATTATTATTTGAGGACTAATATACACATGGCATCGTCATCGAATTTTGTCCTGCGAACTAAATTAACTTAAAAGATAATATTTATTAAATGCGCATTTTCAATATGTAGTCGTCCTTGTAAACCCAAAACCTTTATTGCTTTTAAATTTTATAGAATTTTCTCTCTCATTAGGTATCCATATTGTTATTTTACATTGCACTCATTTTTTAAATAATTTTTTGAATTAATAATTTCATTAAAATTTCAAATTCCTTTGAAAAAAAAATCCTGGCATCAGAGTGAAAAACTAAAAACGCAATTTTACTATATTTGGCCCATAGTTTCGTGAGTATATAGATTCTTTTTTTTGGTTTTGTCGCACGGTGTAATTCGACAAAGTTCATTAAATTTTAAACTTTTCAATTGCAATTTATAGAATTCGGGTATGCAGTTTTATAGCCGTTCCAATTTAAGTATAAGATTTCCAATAGGTTAAAAAGCGTTTTATTCCATACAAATTATGTATGCTATTTTTTTTTTGTCTGGGGGAAAATGAGCAATAACGCTAACAAAAGAAATTCTCAAAAATCAATACTAAAATTGAATGAGCTGTAAAACTTCATACCCGAATTATTTCTAGAAATTCCAACTAAAAAAGTTTGAAATTTTGATTTCCATTTTTCGAACTTCGTCGAATTATTATAAATCTTAATCAAAGTTTCAAACTTTGAGTTATATGATTTTTGTTGTAGCATGCACTCCATTTTCCTAAAAAAAATAAAACAAATAAAAAATAATAAACAAAAATGGATGGCTCAAAATTCTAAAAGCAAATCGTTCCTAATTATCGGGTCACCAGCGCACACTCCGTGTATGTATGTTTATAAAAAATAATTGCGTATTTTCTCATATGAAAGTAAATTAGTGCATACCTCTCAAACTACTGCATTCATATATCCTAAATGAACATATGTAAAAAGATAATTATGGTTTTTGCGTACCATATTCGAAAAAGGCAAAAAGAGAAAATTCGTAATGAATTTAAATCTATAATTGTACATATGTATTTATTCAAGCGGTTTGCCTTTGAATTTGTACAAATATGTAAACCAAATCGTTGCTAATTAGCCAAATAAATTTAATTATATGCATATTTAATGATCATTGGGTAGACCAGCATTTAAACGCTGATTTTGTGTATTGCTGCACATTTATTTTGTTTATTCCATTTTAATAGAATTTTTTCGTTACTAACTTTATAAACATGGCACACATTCATAAATAGTTTATGGTATGCTATCCATTGGCTGAGAAATTATCGCAGATATGACCATTGTAGTATGATCACATATGCATATGTATGCACATTAGACCGTACCATCTTACAAGGAAAAAAAATTCGCCGTACACACCTGAGTCTAAAGTATTCTTTTAAGGCGCTTTCATTAAATTGTTTTTTTTTTTGG